CCGGGAGGAGGGCGCTGCTGGGCGAACTGGGGGTGCTGGCCCGGGGGTGACCGGCCTTGGGGGGCTGGTAGGAGCGGCTGGAGCTGCCCTGGGCTTCCTCGGGGAGAAGTGCAGTGGGACCGGCCACAAGAGTCGGGGGAAGCTGTGTCCGAGTGCTGCTTCAGCCTCTTCTGTGGCTCTCGTGCCCAAAGAGGAAAGGTCATCCTCTCCTCCAGGCCTGGGCATCAGCATCTCCTGACCATGGTCAGCGTCTCCTGACCACCGTGACTCCAGCCCTCGGGCTGCGACTCTCAGAGCTGAGCTGGTTTTTGGCCTGTGAGACTGGAGTGAGGCGTCTCCTCTGTGGCTGCGCGGTTGATATAATCGAGGCAAAGTCCTCGACATATAGCTGCTCCCCTATAGATCTGGTCAGCTGTGTGGCAGCTGTCTCCACGCTGCTGACTGGATGTGTGTGCGGCACAGGGCGGCTTGTCTTGTGACCTGCAGCGCCCAGCCCAATTACTTGAGCTGTTGCTGCTTCCAGTGACTCCCTCGCCGCATGTGTGCCGGGATGTTTCCTGGGAAGCAGGACTGGGCTCACCTGCTAGGTTTCCTGCCCCGGATAGAGCCTGGCTCCTGGGAGCAGTGGCAGGCAGGTCCCAGCTGAGCTGGTGGGCTGTGGGGCAATACACACTTCCTCCTGCTGCCCTCCTGCTCCTTTCCCGTTGCCCAATATGAGACGTGGTGTCGCTGGGGTGGGCGGCTGGATGAGCTGCCTGGGAGTGGCAGGGCAGAGGCTGCCTGGCTGTAGGAGACCCAAGCTTGACGAGGGCTGGTAGAGGATTCATATGAGGAGCCAAAGTCTCTGTACTCTGGCCACGTCACCTGGCAGGTCCCCAGGACTGACCTGCTGTCAGCAAAGGTGGTGTGTGTCTGGTTTCTGTGGCTGCTGCCCAGGGTCACCAAAACCTCCCCGCTGCTGGCACGGGAGAGAGTACAGCGTGCTGCTGTTGCTGGCAGGGAGTGAGGGCATCAGGGGAAAAACTTTTCTCTTGTGTCTGCTTCTCTCTGGGCTGTCGGGGCCCGAGATATCCCAGCTGGGATGTGCTTCCCCAGCCCCGGTGGCTGTGGTTACCCCAACTGCCGGCTGCGCCTCGGGGCTGGCCTGGCTCCCTCTGCCTCGCTGCTGGCACCAGGCAGACCTGTTTTCCCTGCCATTGCTGCTCCCGGCATGGGTCTGTCTGGAAGTGGACGTGGTGCTGCCAGGCATCTGGCCTCCGCTTCTGCACTGTCCCTGCCTGGCTGGACCTTGGTCTATTGGCCTGGCTTCACGGAGCACAGGCCTCCGTGCTGCCAGAGCTCCCGACAAGCCTCTTGCAGGCTCATATCCAAGGACGTGTTGGCAGTCATGTGCCTTCACGTGGGGCTGATGGGGGGATTACCTTCCTGCCTGCTTAGGGGAAGTGGCTCCTCCATGTGATCTGGGGATGGCTGAAGTGGTCCTGTTTTCTCAAACCTTTCCTCTCCCTCTTCCTGATGGACAAAACTTTGCTCCTGCCTGCCCTGGGCTGCCTTCTGGCCCCTGGCAGACTGGGATTGCACTGGGGTTCCCCGCTGAGGTGCTGGGACTCACGTCCCACTTCCACATCATGGCAGGAGCTTGGCTTGGGGAAGTGCCACCCACTCAGGCCGGGGCCAGCACCAGCCATGGGGAGGAGGGCTGCTCACCTGTGCTGCTGAGTCACCCCAGAGCAGGGGCTGCCAGCCCGGAGCTGCTGCACAGCCCCCCAGGGATGCCTGACCCGCAGGGGCAGGTGGCCTTGCTCCTGCCCTGGCCCTTGCTCAGCTGTGTGGCTTGGCAACGCTGGCTTGGTGATAGTGCAGCGCCTAGCACAAGACTTCTGTGCCCTCTGCAGCAGTGGGGTACCTGTGCTGCTGTCCCTGCTGTTGGGTCGACGTGTGCAAGGCTGGACTGAGGGGCTGCGGGTGCTGCTGGTACCAGCTGGTGGCCAGTTTGGAGCTGCCTGTGCCCTCTTGCGTATAGTGTACCCAGAGAGCCTGCCCTTCTGCTGTCTCTAGCTGGGCCCCCCAGCACAGAGCCCTGGGTTCCTCGCAGGTCCTCCGGCTGCTCGGCTGTTCTGGTCCCATGTCCTCTGGTCAGTTTGGGATCAGCTCCATTCAATGGATTTTGGAGCCAGGGCAGGGATCACTATCCCCCTCCCTCTCCTGCGTGGACGTAATGAGCAGTGGTGAGCAGTAGCTCTCCCCAGCCATCCAAAGGCCGCTGGTATGGGACTGGGATGTGTACTAGGGGACAGCATCATCATTGGTGTCTTTTGGGACAAGGAGGGTTGTTTCCAGGTGCGTGAGTGAGGTATGAAGGTCTTCGGGCAGCACCCTGCTCTCATGGGACGGGGCACTGGCTGGGGAAGGGTCCCTCCCAGCCCCTGCCTGCTCGCCTCCCTCCCGGGAGCTGCGGGGTCTGCCTGATCCCAGGGGCTGGTTATTGCCCCAGTGGGGGGCTGTTCTGGGCCCGTTCCCGAGTGTCCCCACTGCGGGCTGGCTCAGGGGGGAGTGTCCTGACTCTGCCAACTGCCTTGAGTCAGCCCTCCTCTCTCCTGCTCACAGAAAATCATTGGTGTCTTCAAGCCCAAGAACGAGGAGCCGTACGGGCAGCTGAACCCCAAGTGGACCAAGTGGCTGCAGAAGTTGTGCTGCCCGTGCTGCTTTGGGAGAGACTGCCTCGTCCTTAACCAGGGCTACTTGTCGGAGGCGGGCGCCAGCCTGGTGGACCAGAAACTGGAACTCAACATTGTTCCCCGCACGAAGGTGAGGGGGCAGCTGCTGGGATCTCGTCCCGGGGAGGCTTTCATGTGCTTCTGCACAGCTCTGCGCCTTGTCTTGTGGCACTGCTGACCTCGGAGATGTGTTGAGAGCTCTGGACCGGGACTGCTCCTGCTCAAGCCATGGGGATCCTCGTGCTGGGCAGAGCCGTGGGAAATGCTGTGTCTTGGTTTTATCAGCCAGTCCTGTGACAATTGCCAGGTGCCCCTACTGACGTCTGCGCTCCTGTCCCCCCAGGTGGTGTATCTGGCCAGTGAGACCTTTAACTACAGTGCCATCGACAGGGTGAAGTCCCGAGGAAAGAGGCTGGCCCTGGAGAAGGTGCCGAAAGTTGGCCAGCGCTTCAACCGCATCGGTCTGCCGCCCAAGGTAGGGCTGCCGGCCCCCACGCCCGCCTGTCGCCGCTTCTCCGTCCTCTGCGGCCTCCTGTGATGCAGCCTCTCCTTGCTTCAGGTGGGCTCCTTCCAGCTCTTTGTGGAAGGCTACAAGGATGCTGACTACTGGCTGCGGCGGTTTGAAGCTGAGCCGCTCCCGGAGAACACCAACCGGCAGCTGCTGCTGCAATTCGAGCGGCTGGTGGTGCTGGACTACATCATCAGGAACACAGGTAGGCTGTCTGGCGTGGGATGCTGCCTGCTCCTTCACGTCCTGCCAGCTGGAGAAAGCGGAGGGGGGCAGGGGCTTGGCATCTCTTCCCAGCACCCAAAACTCCTCTCAACACCACTTGGTTGCTGCCAGGTGGCAGCTGCCTCTGGGTAGAGTGTAGCTGCCCTGGCTGCCCACCACCATGGCCATGCTCTGGCCGCTGGCCTGCGTTCTGGGAGATCTGGATCCACCGCGGTGCTGGGATGAAAGTTTGCCAGCTGCGAGGATCCGGGGTCATCCAGAGATCCAGCACCTGACTGTGCCCCTATATCCCATCTCACGCTGGGCTTCTGAGTTCCTGCCAGGCTGGAAGGGGTCGGGGTAGCGCTCTGGGCCTTGCAGGCTGACCTTTCTCTTGCAAGCTGGGGATATGTGCACCTTTCCAGTCTCCAGGGCTGGTTGTGGGGGGTGTTGATGTGGCTTCCCAGGCCTGCAGCAACCTCGAGGGCTCTGGGGTGGAGTTTGGGCCTAAAACTGGTCTGTCTCACTTCTGGGTCAGAGGAGGAGTAATCTTCTGCCCGGTGTGGTGCAGGCAGGCCCTGGTGCTGACACAGCTGGTTTTATCTCCCTGCAGACCGGGGCAATGACAACTGGCTCATCAAGTACGACTGTCCCCTGGACAGCGCGGGTGTGCGGGTGAGTGGCTCTTCCCGGACAGGGGCTCCGTGGGGGGCTCTGCTCCTGCAAGCTGCCTGCCTGGCAGGCGGGCCGGGGATTTCCCAGCTGGCTTGGGTTTCCAAGTGTGCGGAGGCCTGATCTTGTCTCCTGGGCCTTTCGTTGCCCTCTGTGTTGGTGGTTCGTGGCCTAGTGGGACTTTGTGAGGATGCAGCTGAGCTCTGTGCGCGAAACTGGTGTTGTTGGACCTGTGCATCCTTGGGGTGAGGCCTGGGGGAGGGAGCAGCTTTGTCCCCCTCCCACCCGAAGCAGACAGTGTTTCACTGCGGGCAAGGGGCCACGCTACGGGTGAGAGGCTGCTGTCCCTCTGTGGTAGCCAGGGCAAAGATCCTGGCAGCGGGGCTGCAGGGAGTGGGAGAGGGACTGTTCCTGCTGGGGGGTCCTCCTTGTGACATGCTCCGCTTCCTTTCAGGACAGCGACTGGGTGGTGGTGAAGGAGCCCATCATCAAGCTGGCTGCTATAGACAATGGTTTGGCCTTTCCCTTGAAACACCCGGACTCCTGGAGAGCATGTGAGTCCCTCAGGCTGTGCCAGGGCACCCTGGTGAGCCATACAACTCCATGCTCCGGCATCCTCCCCAAGGGCTGGAGAGGAGAGGGCTGTCCCTCTGCAAACCTTCTGAGTTCATGGGCAGCTCCACCTCAGCAGAGGCTGTAGGAAGTGGGTGCTGGACCCTGTGTCCCAGACACAGGTGATCTGGCACCCAGGGGCATGTGGCACCATCCTTTGCCCTCCCCAGCTCTAATGTCTCCTGCTTCCTCCCACAGATCCATTCTACTGGGCATGGCTGCCCCAGGCCAAAATCCCCTTTTCACAGGAGATCAAGGACCTGATTCTTCCCAAGATCTCGGACCCCAACTTTGTCAAGGACCTGGAGGAAGATCTGTATGAGCTCTTCAAGGTGAGCTGGGGGAGCGGGTGAGGATGGCTTGGGAGGAAGAAAAGCGAGGGTGGTGTTGGGGAGCTCCCTGTCAAGGCTGCAGGGGACAGAAAGGTGGCCAAGCTCCTGACAGTGTTTCTGGGCTGAGGCAAAGCAGGGTTATCCCTCTGCCAGGAGCTGAAGATTCAGCATGGGGAGAAGCAGGAAACCTGTGGGACAGGAGGAGAGAGGCTGGCTTGGGGAATAGGCATCTCTTGCACAGCGTGGGGCAGCAGGTGGATCCCACTGTGTTCTCTGCTCTCTCTCCTGCAGAAAGACCCTGGCTTTGACAGGGGACAGTTTCACAAGCAGATAGCTGTCATGAGAGGCCAGGGAAGCTGGGTGTGGGGAA